AAAAAGGGGAATTCGGGCATAAAATAAAACAATTTCATCAAGTTCCTTCACTGTTAGTTAAATGTATCGTTAGGAAGCTGCATACAACAGTGACCATAAAAATGTGATGCATCCTTATTTTATCAAGAGCTGATCACTTCATATGTATTCCGAAGCATTACGAACATTAATATTGGGAAGCAACAACTGAGACCAATTTTTTAGTCATTATGGTGCTTTCAAAGCTGCAAAATCTTTACTTTCTCTTCTACTGTATAGTATCTTTTATAGAAGAAACATGTTTTCAGGAGTTCCAACTAGTATGATTGTTTAATGAGAGCCATCAGGGGATTGTTTTCTAAAAATATAATAGTGGCCCTTGGTAGACAGTTTTGAGGATATACGGTGATTAACGAAATTTTGCACTAGAAAACAATCCGTTTGATTTCATAACAAGTATTCAAAGAATAACAGATAGTCAATTTGCAGGATTTTTATTTGAACAGAGAAGAACACGAGTTTTATTATTATAAGTGTAAACCTTGGGCATTATGGTAGAATGTAATTCTATATTAGATTTATTGACTTGATATGTAGCACACGGCGATACAGTACAATACTGCATCATCGTGCACTATATATCAAATAAACAAATCCAATATAGAGAACTACATGTTTAATATTGTCCACTTTCTACACTTTAAATAGTCTGTTTGATCAAAGACTAAAACATTTAGTAGTGAATTGTCATTGATAAACCTGACATGTAAGACCATATATGTTCTTCAGTTTATTCTTTTGACTATCGAGTTGACTTAGTTAACTCATCAGTAACATGCAGAAACAAATGTATGAAGAAATTAACCTGGATTTACTCTTCAATTTTGCCTGTTACTTCCTTAGCATTTTGAATTCGACTTGAAAAAATATTCCTTAATAATTTGATCACAGCTTACTTTGTTCTTCTTTCAACTCATCTGAGTATTATACACGTGCACTACTAAAAAGCTGATCAAAAATGACGTCGCGAAAAATCCTGAATTTATTCTGATCTTAACGATTATTATCATTATTATCTTTTTCCTTTGGGTTCCTAGTAGAACTTAGGGCTTCGGTAGCACGCTTCCACTGCACTCTGTTTTCTGCAGTCTTGTCAACCTGGCGCCACGACTGCCAACAAGATTTAATTTCTTCCTCACATGATCTCCTCCATGCCACCCTCGGACACCCAACTCATCGTTTCCCCTTTGGATTCGACTCGACGGCCTGGCGCGTGATGTCCCTAATTGGCCTTCTCAGTGTATGCCCAATCCATCTCTACTTCCCTCTGCATATTTGTTGGGTGACTGTTTTTGGATGGTCCGGCCCTAGAGTTCCTTGTTGCTTATTCTTATTGTTCTGACCATCTGACCCTCAGTATCGAGTGTACGCAGCTGTTGATGAATGTCTGTAGTTTGTTGGAAGTGCTTTTCCTGACGCGCCAAGCTTCTGACCATCACATTAGCAGCACTGACTTGACATTGGTGTTGAAAAACCGGAACTTATTCACACATTATGCTGAATGCAGTGTAGTGAGTACAGTAGATCTCCACACTGATTTCAGGTTAATACAGGAAGGCCTGTCTTGCTATGTTTCCGATCCTGGCTGGCTTTGACATCCTCGTCTGTGCCGCCTCTAGTTGAGACCATGCTACCTAGGTAGGTGGGTAGGTGAAAGACTACTTGCTTCAGGTTTCTGCCGTTAATGGTGATTGGTGCTTGTTGTTGATGCTGTTGTTGGTTGGGTATCTGATCACCTCTGTCTTCTCTACGTTCACTTTAAATCACGTTTTCGTTGCTTCTTCTGTCAACTTGTTAGCTTTCGCCTGTACATCTTCGAGTTTGTGTGACATTGAACATAAATCATCATCGGTGGTGAAATCCAAATCTACCAGGCTCTTTTCGTCGGTCCAGCGTATGCCCACTTTCTCACTCCTCACGGTTTGCTGCATGATCCAGTCTAGTCGACCACAATCAGGTAGATCATCGGTGATAGTTGACCGCAACGTTCAAAGGAGGCACTGAGCATTCTTCTGTGGATCACTCGGCATATAGCGTCGTCATATACCTGTTGAATGAGGTTGATAAAGATTTTCGGCACTCCATAGTGTTGAAGCAACTGCAAAATTACTTCTCGGCCGACGCTGCTGAAGCTAGATAGTTAACTGCCATTCTGTATTCTGTTCTATTATGATGCGTAGCGTAGCGTTGCAATTTGGTCATCACATGATTTGTTCTTCCTAAAGCCAGCCACCCTCTTCCGGTCGTGTTTTGAATCCAGCGCATCTTTTAGTCTCTCCGGGATGATGCGGCATAATATTTTGCTCGAGGTGGACAGCAGCGTTATTCCTCGCCAGAGACTTAGGGCTCCCTTCTTTGGGAGTTTGAGAAGACAGCCCTTCTTCCAATCAACCGGCAGCTAAATTTCCTTCCTTTCTTTTAAACTTTCTGCAGTACTGGTGTGAGCATGTCTGCTGTTGTCCTTGCGTCTGCTTCAGTGCTTCTGGCGGAACTCTATCTGGACCTGCTGCTTTTCCGCATTTCAGTAACTTCATGGAATTCAGGACTTCACTTCTGCCTTTTTTCGAAGGGCCTGTGTTCACTGGTAGTTCTATCGTTGCTGTGGTATTTCTGAACGAGTTGCAGTGGTGGTGGTCGATTCAAGAGCTTTTTGAAGTGGTCAGCCCATCGTTTACTTTGTTGCTCTTCTTTGGTAATTAGATTTCCTTCATCATCTTTCATCGGTTTCATCTGTATTGATCTCTTCCCAGATAGTAACTTGGTTATTTGATACAATGTTGTCAGGTCTCTGTCTCTCCTACCTGTAGCTTGTTCTGCTTCACTTGCAAGTGTGTCGTAGAAGTGCCTTTTGTCTTTTCGTGCACTCTTCTTCACTTCTTTGTCCAGCTCAGTGTTTTATAGGTTGTGCTCAGTTCCTCTTCTCGTTGTGCATCCTTGCACTGTTTCTTCGGCTTCATCATCTTCCTCTTGTCTATCAGCTTCCATGTGTCCCTCGAGATCAGTTCCTTGTTCTGTTTTTTCTTCCTTACTGATACGGTTATGCAGGGTCCCTTCCACATCTCTTTCACACGGTTCCAGTTTTATCCCACACCTGATCCCCCCCAGGAGGTGTTGCTCAATGTCTCCCACTTCGTCCTTATGGCTGACGTGAAGGTGTCATCTTTCAGTTCAGTTTCTGTTCCGGGTGTTCAGCTTGAACTGTGACCGTCTATTACCACTTTCTTTGAAGGATTTCAACTTGATTTGAAGGTTCTTTGCAGTAAATAGATAGTGAGTGGCGTGAATTTACATCTGCTCCCCTTCTTGGTCTGATCTTGTGTCTAGTAGGCTGCGTCTCCACTTCTTCAGATCGGGATGAAGTCGATCTGATTTTTACTGTGTCTTGCTGTCCGGTGAAATCCATGTCGCTATGTGAATATCCTTGTGTTTGTACACACTGCATCGCCTCCAATCACCAAATCGTTGAATGCGCAGAAGTCTCCAAACAGTTCTCCATTCTCATTCATCATTTCACCAAGTGATTCTCAACTCGTGATGAGTTCTCTTCCTGTGTTGTCCGCTCCTAGTTTGACATTCATGTCACCCCACACATTACAACTTTGATGTCACCAACCGGGTTGGGTCTTGTCGTGTACTGATTGCAGTTGTCTGTAGAATTCCTCCTTCTTCTCTTTATCTGCATTATTTGTAAATTGTCACTTTCCATTCTTTTGGGTTGAATACTGCGGCCATGATACTAGAGGAGACTGGTTCCCACTGCATGAGAGCCTTTGATGCTGTTGGGACATCATGATTGCACTCCAAAACTCAGTGTGCTGTTCTCTTGGCTGTCGTCTGGGTGACAACATCGGAGTAGATCATTGACTCTCCAGTTGACAGTTTGGAGAATTCACTTGCATTCCAGCTGCTTTCGCAGATCCCTGGCACTTCCATGCGATACCTTCTCATCTCTTTGACAATCTGAGTGGCCTTGCTAGCCAGTTTCAAACATTGTGCTAACATTCTATCTCCCCATGTTTACTTTCGCTCTCATCGAGAGAGAGAAGATACATCGCCCAACTGGATTCCCGAAGGCTTTCACCAACCGGTGTCATTTCGTTTCTCCGATTTCAGCGAGAAATAAGTTTGTTTTCATTTTTTATACATTCTTTGTGCTTTGAAGTTTCTTTAGCGATTGGATAGGTTTTGCGGGGTAGGGTTGCTAGCCCTACGCCCAACCCTCCTTATTTATCTGGGCTTAGGACCGGCTAGTAAGTAGTGAACTAGTTAGCCAGGCGAGGTTGACCTTAACCGTAGTAATTCATAACCATAACTGTTGGTTTTAAATTGCTACTTCAGAAGCAATAAATTGTATTGTATATAGAATCCTCTTTTCTTCTGCTTTAAGCACCAGCTACTTTAAGGAAAGTCTTGAATATGAGACTTCCTTCCTTCTCCAAAGCTGGTAACATCATATAGACACAATGTCTTTCTTCTACTTTAGTATTTAATAAATGGATGCTAATAAATTTTACCAGCTTACGAAAATAATTTCGTGTGAAGAATTTTAATTTCTGACTTTTTATCATAGATACTGATGCATTAAACCTACCTGATGCCAATCCTTTCCAAGTACATTCTATACAATGAAAACTAATATTTATATCTTAAAGTTGTACAAAATATAAGAATTTCTCGGTTTACAACTATTGAAAATTTACGTACATCATCTCTAGTAAGATAGTTATGATACTTTTCCCAAATGAGTAATTTGAGAAAAATCATCAGGAGTTGAGCATGACTTCAGAAAATAGTTGTTAATAAATCAAATTTAGTCAAAGACAAAATAAGAATAATAATTTCGGCAGCCCTGTTAATTGTAAAGCATATTTTACTGGTCTTTTTATCAAAATGGTAAAAACAAGATAGAATAATATTGATAAAGCAAATGAATACAGTCAATATGTGACTTTAAAATAATGATAAACTGTAGAAAGATGATTATGCAATATTTTTACCCTTATTATACAAGTATGAAAGCAGTCCAGTTGGTATGTGGTCTTAGGACTGCAAATGTTTAATCTTAAACTTAATTATTTTCTCTGCACGCGTAACCTGCGACAGGTCCCAGAACAACTGAGCAGCAGTCCAATTTCTTGGATATTTTGTGATCGTCGATAAACAAGGCAAGGAAAAAAGCTGTGAACACAAGTAGAAACAATCAATTTTGTGGATAGCCAAAGCTTACGTACCAAATTAAATTATATCTACTTCTGAAATTTTAAAATCAAAAATAAATTTTCACTACTTTTTTATATGAAGTGTTTTCCGGCGATGATTTGCTTAACTAGTGATACAGAAGCAACTGGGTGTGATCTTAAAAAATGTCTTAGTGTTTTTTTCTCTATGATTGTATTCATCTGTATTAGTATATCTAAACTTCTGTCGTATTTCACTTGAGGTGAGATGTGCATCTTAGTTTAATATACAAAAATAACAACGATGAATACCTCAGCAGGCACATTATTGTCTGAGATATGGATATTTTCCGGAAATTTCACTGTGCCACTCTTTATGCTCACTTTATTCAGTGTATGTACAGCCTGTCTAAATGCCATAAGGACTACCTAACTAATGCTCATTAGTATAACATTTTTCTCTCACTAGGTCTCTAAATCGCGTTGGAGAAATTTCAGAAGTAGCTTTGACCGTCAGAACAAAGTTGAAGAAATGTTATATTGTGTGCCTCATTGAACGACGCCAGTTACAACTGAACTTTAAACACACCATAGTGAAGAATAGATCATAAATGTAACCTGAAATTAACTGCAAAGAAGAGATAACATTCAAACAGACCACTGCTATAATATATTTCCGTTACTCACCTATTATGCATGTAAATCCGCATACAGTGAATTGCGTTAAATACAACTTATCTGCGTCAACATATGTGAGAGCGAAGGCACACAAAGGACATCCAACTGCCTTCATAGAAAGAAAAAATTAGCAGAAATATTTTGCAGTAGGCAGAAATTACGATATTGGCTATATATATATATATATATATATATATATATATATATATATATATATATATGTACAACACATTCCACACATTAGAATCTGACCAGCGTTTAAGCAACATTTGAGGAGGTAAACCATGATACATTTGATGACTTTCAAAAGGCCTACATTGTGAAATGAAATTGTTTTAAGAATTATTATACTTTTCTGAAAAGATATACCCTTAATTTATAAAGTGAATAGTTAGACTCAAACTCCTGATGCAAAAGCAGTAGTATAGGTAACCAATTGTATATAGGTATTGGTCTGCTAAAGAACAAAACGCCATCCCCAACATCTAGATAAGTGGTTTGGTTTGATTGAAATCCTGGTATAAGGGACTTAGACTCGCTTAATTGTGTTATTTTGTAAGTGGGTCAAATGTAATACTTTTATCATCCCATCGTGAGGGTCAGTCTACTAAAAGACAAATAAAACGAATCACTATAGGTTTTTCCTTTCTAACCAGTCTCAAGATGGTAAAATTTGGTCAATTCGATAAGAATCTAGTTTAACAACACTAGAGATTGACCCTATGAAATGACCCCGGACAAAGCTGGACTACTAACTGAAATAATAATGTTGACGTGAGAACCCTACTACATGAAACGAATGATTCGGTGTTCCCTCCAAACTTTTACAGTTTGTTAACTTTTTTTACTGCATTGTGGTCAAGTGTTTTGGCTGAAATCTTCAAATAACTAGGAACTTCTGGGAAACTGTTTCATAAATTTTTATGAACTGGGTCAGAATGTTAAACTCACGGTTGTCAAAACTTCAATAACTACAGCTTTTCACTGATTTACAATCCATATTCGCTTTGAGATACTTGATTTATATGAAATGTAACTCTAGAACTAACCAAACTGATTTGTTTTTGTGAATAGTATAAATATCATCCTTTTTTACCGCTCACGAGTGAAATGTACCCGTAACAATGGTAAAATAAATGTATGTCTTATTTTTTGCATCAGTCAGGGGGAAGAAAGGTCTAGGGATGGTCATTCTGCTGAAGAAAATGCCTAAAAATGAAATCTTTCATTCTATAATGGTCCACCATACGTAGTGGATACACAGTTTACAGGAACGTATTCAGCAATCAAAAGTCAGATACAGTGATATCCTATTGGTAAGTTGTACAGAACAATCCAAATGATGATTAACCATCTGTAGTGATCCCATATACTGTGTGTAAATAATTCTTTTGCAGTTGTTTATCCACTTCTACTTATCTCAAACATTTACTAAGGTCTTTTGATGAAAAGCCAAATAAATTTTGAAGAATACGCACAGAATGTCACAGTAAAGAAGTTGGAAAAAAAGTGTGACACAAGCACCTCGTCGAATTGCGAAGTTTCATCAAATACTTGACATACTCAAGTTTTGAAACAAATGAAGTTTCGGAACTATGATATCTGACATAACTTACTTTACTTTTCTCGCTATCATTTTGACTGTCTAAGAAAGCCGTGGTTTCTTCATTATCACCAAATCATGCGAATTTTTGTGATGAAGAGAAAACGTTCATGAAGTGTTTCACTTGGTAACTTGGTAACTTATTTTCATATGCTATAATCATGCAGACATTCAACAAACTCATAAAATCTACGTAAAAGAATTCAACAAATTTCTATCATATCATCAGATTACATTGAATTAAAGAAGGTTGAAATGTAGATCTTAAGAAAACATTGACAAGGATTTCAGACAATTTAAAACAACGGTGGGATTTTATGGCAACGTAGATAAATATCTAAACTATTTATACTGAAAAAGCTTACTCGAGCACATGCCAATATGCCATAGTTGACAGCCATATGGGTACTGCCAAACATGGATCCCACTGTTGCAGGTGCAACTGTTGAGACACTACTCAAGAAAAGAAAGTTTCCAATACCATAAATGCAGAACAGTGCTTTCGCCCCCGATTCACCTGCTGGAATGATGTGAGGGAACGTTAACAGAAATACGGCCCATGAGAAACTGATGATGCAGAGTGGGATCTGCAACACGAAGAAAAAGCATAAAAGCTTAATTTATCAAACTGTAACAGAATTTAGTAAACAGTGGGTATGTTTTGCAAGAAATATTATGATGCTAGTAAACTTTCAGTGGCCACTGAAATGATACGTAGCGCTTGTTTGATCCCGGAGTAGTATAATTAAACAACTAAAAAAATGAAAAACATTTTGTATTGAAATGACTGGCTAATCACATTCATATGGAGTTACAAGAAAAAAATTCCGACATTACAAATCTGTTCTCATTCGCATCTTTACTTATTTAATAAAATATCTAGAAGATTATGTTCTGAACACTTTACTAAGCAATCTGAGTAGAGACTGTCGTCTTAAACTTGGAGTATAAAAACACAGTCTTTCAATGATATATATACATTATGTTTCTCAGGAATTTCAAATAATGATTTTTCAAATGATTAGTTATCGCTCATACTTTTTAGATGTTCATCAAAGGGATTCTCATCATAAAAAAACACTAAAAGCAGATGCATTCTGATTTCGAAATTCAGTATTTTGCAAACTTTGGTTGGCTAAAAATAATAATAAGCATAAATAACAAAACGATATCTATATGGAAAGTGCTAGTTTTTCGACCAAGTACTCTGGAGTAAGTTGCACAATATAGAAAATATCGGTTATCACCTGAAGATCTAAGTTGTATCGTATTCGAAAAATAAGTTACCTTATATGAAAATCGATCCACAAGTGTTCCCCAAAGAATACGGCCAACAGCATTAAAAACAGCAGCGACTGTGACTACTGATGATAAGTATATGTCATCACTAATAAAGGATTGACCAAAACATCTGAAATCAACAGAATATTTAAACTAGTATTTACATTTCATCATTTCTGTTACAAAGAAGGAACGACAAATGTTAAAGGCTTCTGGTGGTTTATGAGTTTCTGAGATTTCGATTTTCTATTTGTTAGAAGTAACACTGGTCAGCTATGGGAACATTTCCCAAACTCATTTTTTAATTTTACTGTTATTGCTTGTATTACACCGTCGTTGATTGAACCGAATTGATCAGTCTCTGTTGGCATAAGGGCTCCTGTGTGGATGCCTCGATATTGCCTGTGTTTTAATTATGTATAGTAATGATGGGTAGTGGCTAACAGTGGAATTCAGGATCCACATTTCGTCCTATTTGAGACTATTCAGCTAGATGTACCCGCCTCCCAGTAAGTGATGTTGTTCCCACTGGGATTCGGACTCAGGAGCGATAGCTTCAAATGAGAGAGCGTTATACACTACAGTGTAGTGGATGTTTTCCAAATCAGCTTCATGGTTATCACATGCACAGATTGCTTCAGTATCTAAAATAATTTGAACTTTTCTGTGAGGTGGTTCATTACTGCCAATTACTTTGATCTATCTCTGAATTTCTTGTCTATAGAATAATTATCTTAAAAATATGAGAAATAAGTTATCCTATTTTCATCTCTGTGAGTAGCCTAACTTTAACTATAAATCCATGATTGTATTGTCCTAGCATGCACTTCAAAGTGTAAACAACATTTTTCTTAAAGAATCCAAAGTAGTACTACAGCTCTTATACAATGGGAGAAAAAGTGAAGAATAAAATACTTTGTTTAATTGATGTTGTATTATTTTCGATAATTATATTTCCCCATCATAAATACAATTTTCAACTGATTTTACAATCCAGTGTTAAAACTAACTTACTTTGTAAGCAGAAGTTACGACTGTCAACGGAACACTGTTACACAGTTCAATAAGCCATAGCAAGTAGAAATCAATATGATGAAACAATTGTGCAGGTGTAACGTCTGCTGAGCTTCAAATTGTACAACAATATAGAAAATGGCTTTAAAATGCCAAATTTAAAACCGAATAAGTTTGTTAAAATAAATTTAACGATTACAGCAAGAAAATGTAATTGTTCACTATATGAAGGCAGTGGTGACTATGTAATATACCAAAAATTTGCCTGCGATACATACTGTTGAGTAATTAAATGAATCCTACATAATAATTTTGTATGTATCTTAAAAAAGCAATCGTTTAAAAGTTGTTACAATAAACTTAGAACTATAAAAACTCAACATTTAACAAAAAAATTAGGAATACAAACAATTTAAAGAATAAGTAGAGCTAAGAGAAATGTTGGTCAGCCATTAGATGCAGTAGCGTGATAAAGAAGATGAACCTAAGCCCAGTCACATAATATGATTTTAACGTCTTGCGCAATTATAAACTTGGTAGAACAGCGCCTCTTTTGAATGTCTTCAAAAGTAACACAGAAACTGATGAACCCAAATATGTACCATTCGTCAGTCTTTTTTATTCTGCACTAATCAGCCTTAAGCACACTCAGTAGTAAACGAAGAAGATTTGAAGCACAGATCCATTCATCCGATAGCAGGTGAACACCTTTTTCTGCAACACTGGTACCAAGTGCAACTTAGAAAGCAGTTTATACCATATCTATAGGCAGTCGACACCGAAAAAGGAGTATTTATTTAAAGGTTTAATAATGGTATATGATAGTGGTAGAATACACAAAATATCCAATCACAACTTCAGATGAATGTTAGCTTTTGATTACATACGACGTTGATGCAGTATTTGACTCTCGTTTCACGTGTCCCGATAACATGCTAACATTCTTGTATTCTTTAAAATTTCACATAAGATGCATTTCTAAATCCAATTAATTCACCGTTCATCGATTTTTTGTATTCTCTTTCTCTCCGACAAAGCAACTATGAGCTCCTTAAATGGTATTTATCATAAATGATACAGTTGTGCACTAATGTACTTGAAATAACACTGGTGGACAAGTGAAAAATATTCCACGTGTGGTGACAATTGAATGGAAGCCACCATCAAATTTAGGGATGATTCGATGACGATTCTCAGACATTTTCATGGAATTCATATTTATGCTTGGCAGGTAGACACATTACTATGATAATTCTTAGCAGGGTTCTAGTGGCAAATTTTAAAAGTTTGCTGTGGTCAAGAAATCGCAGGTAAATATCTAGACTTCATTGCTTAAAATCTACATTGTATGGCTGTAATTATATGCCCAGTCTCAAAATGCTGCATTAATTGATAGACTATATATAGTAAAATGACGGTACTGAAGCTTTAAATAGAAGTGAGATTCACATTGGATATTTCAGTCTTAAATGGGTTTATGCACTTTTGAGTATCATAAAACCATGAAAATTTCAATTTATACTTACTTTGAAAAATTAGTGTAGATTTTTAATTCCTGAAGAAATGAAAAAGTAGGTGAGTTGTAATAGTAGTTCTAATAAGTCAATACCAGGAGCGAAAAATCATATTCAGTTTTAAAAGTAGCTTTCTTTGCTCATTATATACGCCTATGATGTTTCTATAGGTTAATCAGTGAGTAGTTCAACGTCATTTGTCAAACTATGAATGATTGAATGAATTTCAGCTTGTTTATCTTCAATGAACGCTATCAAACTCTAAATTAATCGTTCTATTTCGAGCACTGTCAGGTATCAATGACAATGTAAAAAAAATTAATTATGAATAATAATGCGTGAATAAAGCTTCATTTCGAAAGAGTTAAAGCTCATAGCCCTCAGTAATACCATTTCAGTCATTTGACATTGAATTCTCAATAAATTAATGCACGTTTTGAATAACATACAGGTATGAAACACGATAGTGACAAGGATTTGATGACTTTTCCATCTCAAGAGTCTAATATCTACATGCAGTCAGACCACTTCTTGAATACATCAATTAGTACTACTTTTAGTGACGACCATGTTTATGTGACTCAAGCAATAAGTCCATGTATGTAAACCTATAAATAAGCCCATGTCACTCAGAAAACAAGTTAGCTAGGTAACAGTTAGGATCTAATCTGCATAACATTGCATACCAATATTATTTTGTCCCCCACTAATCTGGTAGAGACGTGCTTTAAATGAAACATTATGCAACGTACAACTTTTCTGCATCGACCAGTTGTTGGAATATTTCTCATACCTATTCCTGAGTATGCTATAAATCTAATTTTCATTTACGGTTATGAGGCCATAATAAATTTTCATGCTTTGCTTTGATTAATTCACTATCTATTTTCTCATTTAAACCTCCGATTCGCATGCTTCTATAAATATGATCGTTAGTGATTTTCTATGATATGTCACTGATAAAACCAGTTTCCAAACTGTCACCAACCCTTGAAAACTCAACAGATATGCTTCTTGTAGAAAATTAGGATTTTAATTCGTTACATTTCAAAATAACTTACATCACTTTGAATTTCAGAGTCTATCGAAACAATTTCATCAGAATTTTCATTTCTATCTTCTAACTGAAAGAATATGTCAACATAATAATAAGAGTATAAGTTTAAAGAAATTTCTTCTGTTATAGAAATTTTCAAGTTTGTCGTACATTTCTGTGATGTGTTACACGTCATTTGCATATACTGCTATTAAATATATGAACTTTGTTTGGTAATTCTACGTCAGCTACTTTGTAGACATTTTGTTTCCGTCACTAGAAGAGAAAATCACTAACTGCTAACAGGTGTAGTATTTGTCGAAAATCATTAATAATTGTCTCCTCCTACGACGTATACAAACTACAGTGGACATAGGTAAGCTTTCTCATAATCACATATAAGGACACATTTAATTATATTTTTTTTTAGGCATTTTAATGTGTGAACTTTCTTAAATTGATGTATTAAGGGTCAAGCAATTGCACATTAGAGTATCCAGTAAACATATGGAAGTCAAGTGCACTTACTTCATTATTCCCAATTTTTGCACACGACACTGATGCATAAAATTTTTTAAAAACAGATTTTTCATAAATTTTTTTGGTTTCTTCATATTCAACATGTCAAACTTCAAACAGTTTTATGTAATTTCATGCACGGTAAACACCGACATCATCAACACTGTTAACATAGCCTAACCATTATTATATTCTAAAAATGTGAACTAAGTCAAAAAAACTTATTGGGTTAATCACTAATTTAATGACTGTTTAAGTATTTCAGAACTGTTTACTCCCAGACATTGTGTGCACATGATATAGGAGAATCTTTAGACTTCAAAAATGTTGAATAAACTGATCTTTTGCTTTCCATGTAAATTCATTAGCTTTTAATTACGGTGCAGTCAAAAAAGTGCATTCCTACAAGTTCTGTGAAATACACTTCAAGTGTTGAAGTATTCGGCTTAGTTAATATTTAGTCTAATTATAAATTAATGGAATCGTATTTATTTTATCACTAAGTAATTGTAATCTCTGTAGAACTGATAATAAAACAACTCATTTTTAAAAACATTGAAGACAAGTGAGATATACATTGGGTGGTCACTGAAGTGTAACCAATTTTATATTAACTAGTCCTAAATGTTGACCTAATTCTATCGATCATTTCGCCATGTAATCAGCAAGCTAGGAACCTCACTTTGGTGGTGCAGTTTGAATGATGCTAGTTGGTTGGAGTTGATTGGTAGAAAGTAGACTGTCTCCAACCAGCAGATAAAATATTTTATTTGCATAATATTCAACATACAAATAATAAAAGTATGACCTGCAGTCGAAAAATGGGTAATACTTGTTCGATTTATGAACTTTAATATTTCAAACCGGTTAAAAGTTTAAAAACTTTTACTTGACACAGTTGTACGTTTGAGGTAATTTATTAGGTTTTGCTATTTGAGAAGCTTTCAGTGGTTATTACCCCATTTATATTGCAAATGGTGAGCATGATCATACAGCCTGTGTATAAGATGTAACAGGACTAGCTCTTTCAGTTTCTAATTTGTGGTTTAAAAGTAGCTTTCATCGCAGAATGACACTGGTTCGTAAACCATTGGAGAAACAGCTGTCTAGTACTGTCGAGTCTTCAGTTGCTGTCCAAATAACGTCAACCAGTGATGATTCTTTTTTCGACTCAAGAATCTAAACTGCCTAAATGCAGGTTGTTATTTGGATTTCGCCCACTATAAATAGGACAACTAGTTAACTGTCAAAATCGTTTTAGTGCCTGTAATACATTCAGTTACTTGACATCTCTATGTTACACTTTCTGTTTTTATAGAACAGAGGATAAAACTATATTACAAAGAGAACTGACCACAAGAATAGAAGAAAGATGGCAGTAAAAAAAGATATTTTTCCTCATCTTATTCTTATTATTTGTCCCTTGGGTTCCTAGTAGAACATAGGGCTTCGGTAGCATATCGCCATCTCACTCTGTTCTAAGCAGTCTTTTGAACCTGACTCCACGACTGCCCATAAGCTTTTATTTCTTCCTCACACGATATCCTCCATATCACCTTCGAATGCCCAACTAGCCATTTCCCCTTCGGGTTCCTCTCGACGGTCTGGCCAGGCATATGATGTCCCCAAACGGTCTTCTCAGTATGCGCCCAATCCAACCCATCTCCACTTTCTTCTGCATATTTGTTGGGTGATGGGTTCGTGGTTGGTTTGTTGCCAGACCAGAGTTCCTTGTTGCTTATTCTTACTACTTTGGCCATCTGATCTTCAGTATCGAGGGTAGGTGGCAGCTGCTTATGTATGTCTGCAGTTTATTGGAAAGGCTTTTCGTAACGCCCGAAGTCTCTGAACCATGTAGAAGCACTAGCTTAATTGACATTAGTGTTGAAAATCCGGATTTTGTCCTTCATGATGAGTGGAATGGAGTAGATCTCCACACTGACTTCAGATTAATGAAGGCCTGTCTTTCTTTTCCGATCCTGGTTTTGAGTTCCTTATCTACCACTAATTTATTGACGTAAAGCAATTATAGACGTTCTTTCAGATCTTACTTGTTCCTTTTCCATGAGTATCTGATACTCTAAAGTTTCTGTTTCGATTCTTGGTGTTGAATCTTCAATCTTTTTTGATTCATAAAAGTCGTGGCTATCATCTGTAAAATGACAGATCCACAAGTATCGCTCTTACTTCACCTGAAGTGAGTTAAATTTCATACTCATGAAGAATGATGCCATTCTGAGTTTTTCAAAACTAAACGTACTTTTTAAAACATATCCTTGGTAATAGATTTGAAGGTGGATTTTGTCTACTTAACTAATGCGCTTCAAAACTTTTACAGGCAGAATGTTATTCGAATATTTCTTTTTACTCTTCGTGTCGCCTAAGTTACTGATTGTGTATTTTAAGCCTGTCAGTTCTAATTGTAATCAAAGTTTGACTTTGGGTTTGCCGTGAATTTCTTTCACCTTTAACCATTACTTCTATTCAAAGTGAACAATAGGGTGACTTAACTTAATATGAAAAAGCACTACGCTTGTGGATATATCAGTGTTGCTTGGAGGAACACAGAAACTCACTAAGTGCTTTATTATTTGATTTCCGATAAGTAAGCTGTTGGTCCTTCAAAAGACGACCCTAAAATTGCGTAAAATTCAATGTTTGATGCGACTGTTTCTCTGATTCGGTTGACACAAAAGCTCGGAAGTATTATGAAACAATAGGTCAGTTAAAAGTAACTTCTGCGTTGTAGGGAGCTGCATGGTAATAGATACATTTCGATTTCATAGATGCTAGTATATTTCAACAAATCTATCTTTTTAGCTGACTATTTTAAGGCAGTTGACAAATGGTTCTTAAAATAAAAAACTCTACTGAAGAACATTTTTTTAGAAACAACACGATGCTTATAGAGAACATGTTATTTTGACCCGCTGATAGCAAGGCTCTCCAAATCTTTTACCAGGAGTTACACTTTACTTTCACATACCATACTACTAACCTAAGTATATTATTTCCAGTCTCAAAACTTGACATATCTTTGGCGGAAGAAACTACAATACGTTTACATGCATAGTCTTGATGATGCTCTATTGATTGAAAAGCTTAGGCAATTCCACTAATCTACTGAGTAACATGAGTTTAGGGCGAAGTGCCTAGTTGTCAAGTGGATCCAATTCATATAATACAATTCAATGCGTAACTTGGCGATTATATTTACTGATCAAATGGAATATTTTGAAGCTTGTGGAATAAAGCTATGAATAAACTCCATGTAAACTATTTTTTTATTCATAGTAACATTAGATCATCAGCGGTGGATGATCCTCGTTAAAACGATATTTTATGCATTCAGCTACGACGCATATTGCTTCTTATGCACCTTTTATTTGTTTAAAATGTTAAAAATGCTATCCAAAGCAGCCTTATAGTCACTACTTAGGTTCAAACAACGTATATGCACATGTGCTCATTAAGAATGATTCACTTCTGTTTGATACCTGCACACTTTTATGGTGGTAACTTGTGAGATTATTTTTTTTGTCTACAAATTTCACATAGTAGAACACAAATTAAGAAGTAATATATAAGGACATAACTGTAAACTTGGCAATTTTCAGGTTGGACTATTGGTAAACATACCCTTTTTAAGAGCTCTATGATTTCTGTCAAATTTTGCCTAAAATGACTAGTTCAAATATAAAGTGGCAGAATAATATTGACAAGGTTTTAGCGATTACGCTATTTTACTAGGGATCATAAATTGAAAATTATATCGATAGAACATTGTCACCCTTTCCACCTAGAATACTGATTAGTCAAACGTATATTGATTATTTAAAATATGATCTTGTGAGAACATTAGGTGTTATGAGTAAAAATTCTAAATTACGATATAATAATTCTGATTGCAGTACAATATATTTTCAAGGTGTCAAGATCACTCATGTCACTGATTAGTTGCAGTGTATGAACTATTATTTCAATCTTGGGACAATATTGTTTTGTAGGTATAATAGTCTCACTGTTCGAACGCTGCTCTATTTAAAAAGATGCGAATAATCTTGTCGTTTCTCGATTCGGATTACGTCTAATCAAACGTTTAATTTTTATACTTTCAGTCTTTTCGTGTGAATCCTGTATTTATAATGCTAAATAAAAGCCTTATGAAAATACAAAAAGCCCTGTGTCTTCATTGTTTTGGTATTTATATTTCTCAATGAATCCAAAACAAAAGAAATTTGTTTTAACTAACGTTTTGTTATTTAATGCTAGTAGCTTTATAAAAGTTATGGTAAACCCGAATTGACAATATTCAAGTTCATATATGATAACTTGATCTACGTCCTTCTGAATGGTTGATTCTGCTTTGTCAGTTATCGAAAAAAGATGATGTTCAAATGTAGTGCACTCTGTTTCATGAGCATACTTAGACTGTGAATCCGGAGAAGCGAAACCTACCTCACTAGGAATGAGGGAGTAAAATGTAGCTTGACCTGGTTTCAATCAACCCCCACATACTGACATAACCAACATGCACGCAAAGAGAACTATCAGCACACGTTTAAATACAAATCTCAATCTGAAATTCATTTACGCATCACATATATAATATATGGATATCATCTTCAAAATAGTGGAGAATATTTGTAGCTTAGGCTGATGGTCTTGGTTATATTGTGTTCT